AGAATAAAAATGTACTCTTAACTTGTATGGCATACAAAAATTAACACTTTTTTTTGTAATATGACACATTTTAATAAACTAATGATCAGTATTTTACACAACGCATTTTCTTCAGAAAATCCAGAGCAAGGGGTGACTTCATTATTTCCATAACAGTTCAGTATTGCAGATTGAAAACAACTGAACTTTCAGATGAAGTTGACTTCTACTTGATGGCAGGATTCAAGGTTTCTCAGATGTGAATACAGAGTCAAAAGCGGTGGATAAAACCTTGCAAACGGCTTGTGCTTGTTCCAGGCTGTTGCACTGATACACCCACAGGCTGTATTCTTCATTGCTTGCATCTGTGGTCTTCAGATCCAGTAAGCTTTTTCCTGTCACCAGACCATCATCGTAACACACCATCCGGATTATTAAGAAGAGAGCATGCCTGTGCAAAACATCATATTGATCTGATGTTGATACTTTTATGTCATACTTGGAAATTCCCATAATAAATTCTTCCTCCGGAGGAACAAAAGACAACTTTCCATCTTGCTGAGCAACATCTATATAGTTTATCAGGTCCAAGGGTCCTTCAAGACCTTTTCCCTCAGAGAGTTTCAGTTTCTCAATGGCACCAACATATTTTATTCGAAATTCTGCACAGCTATCTGAATTACTGTTGCTTTGTCCTGAGCTTCTGGTGGAATCTGTGTCGAGGCTGGCCACAGTGCTGGATCGTGAAAGACCCCCAAGGCTAGAATCTACAGACTTGCTCTTAGTACTGATTTCACTACATTGGGAACGGCTACTACTGTGTCGTTTTTTGCCTTTGCGAAACATTTTTCACCACCATTGCTCGATCCAGAGAAGATCTCTACAGAACTGATTAAAGACTTAAATATAAACAAGTGGAACTACATGAAACTAGGAAAGCTTCCACACAGCAAATGAAATAATGAACAATATGGAAAGGCAATCTACAGTATAAAAGATAATATTGGCAAACCATATAGCTGACAAAGGGTTATATGCAGTATCTATTTTAAAAATCTAAATAATTCAGTAGCTAGAAAATAAATAACCTAATTTTTAGATAGGCAAAATATATGAATAGACATTTTCCCAAACTAGATAAACAATTAGCCAGTAGGTACATGAAAAGTTTCTCATATTCACTAATAATCAAATAAGTGCAAAGCAAATCCCCTGTGATAACACCTCACACCTGTAAGAAATGATATTATTTATCAAAAAAGGTAGCAAGGCTGGGCCAGAATGTGGAAAAAAAGAGAAAATCTCTGCACACTGTTGGCAGGAATGTTGATTGATAATCTATTATGAAAAGCAGTATTGACATTTCTCAAAAATATAGACCTACCATATGATCCAGTAATTCTATTACTGGATATATATCTAAAGTCTAAAAAAATAAACTCCCTATCTCAAAGACATAGTGTACCCCTGACTTCACTGCAGAATTATTCACAGTAGCCAAGATATGAAAACAATCTATTGGTGCATCAACACAGGAATAGATAATGAAATGTGGCATATACATACAACGGAACACTATTCAGTCATAAAAAAAGGGAAGTCTTGCCATTTACACAACTTTGAAGAACTCAAATACATTATACTAAGTGAAATAAGTGTAATACGCAGAGAAAAATACTGTACGTTTTCATTATACGTGGAATTTTAAAAAATCAAACTCATAGAGATAGAGTATACAATGGTTTTTGCCATGGATTAGGAGAAATGAGGAGAGGGTAGTCAAAGCTAAATTTTTAGTTATGAGATGAATAATTTGTGGGGCTCTAATAAAGAACAAAGTAACTACAGTTAACAATATTGTATGAGGTACCTTAAATTCGCTAAAACAGTTACACAAATTAACCATGCAAGGTAATAAATGTATTAACTTGACAGTGGTATTTATGTTGCAGTACATATATATATTGAATAATCAAGTTGTACACCTTATATAAAATTTTTATTTGTGAATTATACCTCAATAAGGCTGAAAAGAAAGACAATAAAAATGCACTAAAAATAAAATCACTTTCAGTTTTACAACTCAAAGTTTTCACAAGATTAAACAAAAAGAATTCTTAAGGACCAAGTGGATGTAACAAAATTCAGAGACACAATTATCTTCAGCTTTCTCTGTAATTCTATACAGGATTTAGGAAATAAGAATATCAAAATAGGCCCAGGCGCGGTGGCTCATGCCTGTAATCCCAGCACTTTGGGAGGCCGAGGCGGGTGGATCACGAGGTCAAGAGATCGAGACCATCCTGGTCAACATGGTGAAACCCCGTCTCTACCAAAAATACAAAAAATTAGCTGGGCATGGTGGCGCATGTCTGTAATCCCAGCTACTCAGGAGGCTGAGGCAGGAGAATTGCCTGAACCCAGGAGGCGGAGGTTGCGGTGAGCCGAGATCGCGCCATTGCACTCCAGCCTGGGTAACAAGAGCAAAACTCTGTCTCAAAAAAAAAAAAATAATAATATCAAGATAATTTATAATCAATACACAAACAAATTCAGTAAGACATAAGTAAGTACTTGTAACAGACAGTGAGGAAAGTAGTCTAGTAGTGGTCTTGAGCCCAAGAAAAAAATTTATGGTGAAAGAAAATGCACACAGAATTTATTGTATTCTTTTATAATTTTTTACTTCTCATACATCATTTACATAAACATTACTACTTTTTAGAACAAATGTTGGCTATTTTGTTTATCATTACTAAGCAATTTTTCTTCACTTACACACATGCTTCTGAACCCAGAGCTGATACATAATTTGAAATAAAACACAGATAAAATAGAAAGTGTCTGTACATCCCTCTGCTTTTATAGCCACCCTTCAACCTCCACCTCTATACAGCTTGGCAGGAAGACATTAAACAGCACAGACCCTCCCATCATTTGCTGAGTTATATAAAGAAATAGATACAAAATTAAGTTTATCCAAACAGGTTAAATTACCATGGTTGGATTCATCCCATCTTGTTTGCACTTTCATTTCCTGCTATACAATCTTTTTTTTTTTTTTTTTTACTTTTAAGTTCAGGGGTACATGTTTGTTGCATAGGTAAAACTGTGTCATGGGGACTTATTGTTTAGATTATTCCATCATTCAAATATTAAGCCTAGTGTCCATTAGTTATTTTTCCTGATACTCTTCCTCCTCCCACCCTCCATACTCTGGTAGGCCCCAGTGTGTGTTGTTCCTCTCTATATGTCTATGTGTTTGCATCATTTAGCTCCCAATTCCAAGTGAGAGTATGTGGTATTTGGTTTCTGTTCCTCTGTTAGTTTGCTAATGACAATTGCCTCCAGTTCCATCCATGTTGCTGTGAAGGACGTGATCTTGTTCTTTTTTTATGGCTGCACAGTATTCCATGGTGTAGATGTACTGCATTTTCTTATTCAGTCTATTACTGATGGGCATTTAGATTGAGTCTATGTCTTTGCTATTGTGAACAGCACTGCAGTAAACATACACATGCATGTATCTTCATAACAGAATGATTTCTATTCCTTTGGGTATATGCCCAGTAATGTGACTGATGGTTGAATGGTAGTTCTGCTTTTAATTCTTTGAGGAATTGCTACACTGTCTTCCACAACAGTTGAAACTAATTTACACTTCCACTAACAATGTATCAGGATTCTTGTTTCTCCACAACTTCACCAGCAGCTGTTATTTTTGGACTTTTTAATAATACTAGCTATTATGACTAGTGTAAGATGGTATATCACTGTGGTTTTGGTTTGCATTTCAACTGTCAAAAATTAGAAATATATTTTATTCTAAAACTTTTTTGTACTACCTAGAAAACATATCTTAATTAATTTTATATAAAAACTATAAAATTACATTTTATATCCCATTCCTATTAATGGTTTTGTTACTTTAATATTTACATGTCTAAAAAATACCTTATTTTACTTGGGAAGCTTTCTGAAATGATATGCATACATAAATGCATGGCCTAGCTCAGTCACTTACATTTTATCAGAGTTCATTACTTCTGTATATTTTAGCACTGGTCCTTTAGTGTGGAAAAATTTTTCTTCATGACTATTTGGTCTAGAATCAAACAACCTCCTCATATTATTTGTGTTTGGTTATAATGCAGTTTAAAAAGTGTACTCAACAGCTAGTAACTTAGCTACAGCTCGTCCATCCATAATTCACTATTCCCAGTGTAATTTATTAGAAAATGTGGTTAACTTTGTGGTTAAACAAGATAAAAACGGCCTGATACTAATAATCAAAATGGCTTGAAACATGGCTCAGAAAACAGAAGTTATCACTAATTAAGGGTTCAAAACTAGATGAATCATTTAATTGTTGGAGTCACAATAATATATTTCAAATGAAGCGATTTAAACTAATTTCCTTCCAAAAGCAAAGTTATATTTTTCTATAAGTGTGAAACTCTGAAAATTTTATTTCTTTAATTCTGTAACTTCATTTCATTGCACTCTTTTCTTTTAAAAAATAAATATTAGAATTTTATTTCCTCACAAGATAACTTCCATAATGGTACAAAGGAGATTATTAACAAACAGTTGTCTTTACATTATGTCACATAAATACACATAAATGTTTTTGTGTATCTAGTTGTTGAAAGATATTGACACAAATATAGGTGTAGGTATTTGTACAGATATATGTATTTTTAAAACGAGTTAAAAACACGTTTTCCATTATCAAGCTTTATAGATTTGAATCTCAGATTCACAGCTTATTTGTGTAAACATGGGCAAGACACTTATTTCCTCCAAGGCTGTTTCTTTCTTTCCATTTCTTTTGTTTGTTATGATAAATAAACCACATAATTCACACAAAGTTCTTAGCACTGAGCATGGGACATAGTATATGTTAACTATACTCTAGCAATCATTATAATCATGGTGCCATCAGAGAATTTCTCTACTGATTTTGTTAACGTTGTCCCTGAAAAATAGTACAGTTGCAATAAAATTGAGGCAATCCATACCTTGCTATTTGCTAGTGAAAAGAGTTAGCCATCTTGCATTAGGAAGACAGTAAATGAAGGGTACCCCGGAAAACCTCAGATCTGCCCCGCACGCGCTTACACCGTAAGTTTGGCGCAGCTAAACGAACTTGCGCAGGGGTGGCTTACCTAAACATGGCCGCAGGGTACAAAGAACACGCATGCGCACTAAATCTGCATGCGCACTAAGGATACTCATGCGCACTAAGGGTACTCATGCGCACTAAGGGTACTCATGCGCACTAAGGGTACTCATGCGCACTAAGGGTACTCATGCGCACTGGGGAAATGAGGTCCTGGGGCAAGGAATTCACGCCGTATTCAAAAAAGGAACGCGGCTCCATTAGCCGTGAGGTAATAAAAGGCCTTGAATTCAGCTGTGAAGTGGGTAACCGGGAACGTGCTTTCAGGACCCCTCTCTCTGCTGACAGCTTTCCTTTTGCTTAATAAAGTGTACTCCACTCACTCTTCGGTATCTGCATGCCCGTTTCTTCCAGGTCATGAGACGAGAACCCGGACCTAGCTGAGGTAAGAAGTAAAAAGTTGGCTGGGCGCGGTAGCTCACGCCTGGAAGGCCAACACTTTGGGAGGCCGAGGCAGGCAGATCACCTGAGGGCGGGAGTTTCGAGACCAGCCTGAGCAACACGGTGAAACCCTGTCTCTGCTAAAAATACAATACAAAATTAGCTGGACCTGGTGGTGCATGCCTGTTATTCCAGCTACTTGGGAAGCGGAGGCAGGAGAATCGCTTGAACCCAGGAGGCGGAGGTTGGGTGAGCCAAAGTCATGCCATTGCACCCCAGCCTGGGCAACAAGAGCGAAATTCAGTCTTAGAAGATTTTTTTTATCTTTTTTTTTTTAAATTTAATCATTAGGACACCAGTAGTCAATGTCTATCTCCTAGAGTAACAAAGTAGGTTAAATGAAATAAAATGAATCAGGACAAATGACATCTTTGTCATATTTTCACTGGTTTCATGTCCCTTCTAGAACCTCTGATTGCAATAACAATGATAATAATGCTTCCCATATATCTAGGAAAAAATACTGTTTTTCCCCCACAAAGCAGAACTGGCATACTTTTTTTTCTTTGAGACGGAGTTTCGCTCTTGTTACCCAGGCTGGAGTGCAATGGCACGATCTCGGCTCACCGCAACCTCCGCCTCCTGGGTTCAGGCAATTCTCCTGCCTCAGTCTCCTGAGTAGCTGGGATTACAGGCACGTGCCACCATGCCCAGCTAATTTTTTGTATTTTTAATAGAGACGGGGTTTCACCGAGTTGACCAGGATGGTCTCGATCTCTTGACCTCGTGTTCCACCTGCCTCAGCCTCCCAAAGTGCTGGGATTACAGGCGTGAGCCATAGCGCCCGGCCCAAGAACTGGCCTACTTATATAAACTATGTCCTCCTTTCTTATCTGGAAGCTGTTAGATTTTTCTTTTGTTTGAGACGGAGTTTCGCTCTTGTTACCGAGGCTGGAGTGCAATGGCGCAATCTGTGCTCACCGCAACCTCCGCCTCCTGGGTTCAGGCAATTCTCCTGCCTCAGTCTCCTGAGTAGCCGGGATTACAGGCGCGTGCCACCATGCCCAGCTAATTTTTTGTATTTTGTTTTTAGTAGAGACAGGGTTTCACCATGTTGACCAGGATAGTCTTGATCTCTTGACCTCGTGATCTACCCGCCTTGGCCTCCCAAAGTGCTGGGATTACAGGCTTGTGCCACTGCGCCCGGCCGGAAGCTGTTAGATTAAAGGAGAGTTGGGAGAAGGACCTGGCATATATTTTGACATCATCCACATGGAAGATAGGAGAGAAAAGAGTCCTGAATAAGATAACCATTTACAATAAAATATAACAATTCTCTGTGTAAATGCCACTCTTAGAACCTGATGAAACTGTGGGCACCAGAAAGAAAGTTTGTGATGTAGAAGGCTTTAAGTAGTGTGGATAAGTCGTATTTTTGTAAACATTGTTAATAGTTATGGCAATTGGTAAGATTAGAATGGCCAGTGACATTAAGATAGAGAAAAATAATAAATTTATTACTGTTACTTGTAATCGCACCAATTTTTTGGCTCTTAGGGCCAATGAATTTCTTCTATTGTACAAAAGTTGGCAAAGCCATATTGCTAATTTGGAGACATGAGTTAGCAATTCTTGTATACTTTTTCAGTAAATAAAGACTTGTAAAGTTCTATTATTTGATTCACAATCTTTTATTTATCTAAACTATATTTAAAATATATGGGTCCTAGGATAATTTGGGGCTTCAGTGGTAATAGGAATGGAATCTGAATAAATATAAGAGCATTTTCTTGTGTAAATGGTGGTCTTATATTATTAATATAATATGCAAATTTTCCTCATGTGTTATTTATACATAGAGGGTCTAAAAGGCTGTAATTAGTATATTAAGTCCTATTTTTAAAATGATAAAATTACATCATGAGAAAGATTTTGTAACTACCAATAGTTTTCCAGTCAGGGTGATAGTCAGTGGTAGGGCTAGATTTAGTTTGGCTAGCCCGTATTCATCATGTTGCTATGAGAGGAAGTAAAGTCTGTAGTCCATGAGCTAATGTATCATTTGACTATGAGTTGAATATCTATATATTATATAGATATACATATGTGCCATATATCATATATATATCAGTAACCAAACGAAAACTAAAATAACTGTCTTAATTTCAGACAACGTGAAATCAGAACTCAGAATATTCCCATTTATATATGTATACATATTCTCATATATATATACATATTTATGTGCCATATATCATATATATATCAGTAACCAAACGAAAACTAAAATAACTGTCTTAATTTCAGACAACGTGAAATCAGAACTCAGAATATTCCCATTTATATATGTATACATATTCTCATATATATATACATATTTATAATGATTTTCAAAAGGACATAAATATACTAAATGCATACACATCTAACAACTGATCTTAAAAAATAAGTAAAAACTGATATATATAAAAATAAATAGAAAAAAATCACAATGATAGCTGGATACATTAAAATTTCTTCCTCAGACTGTATTTAAACTTGTTCTGGATCACTGATTATATGTATACGTATAAACACACACTCATATATATATATATATATACATATATATACACACACTCACACACATATTTGTTTTTTTCATACATATATATTTTTTAAGAAGCTTAATCTCTAGCAGTTTTAAGCAAGACAATCATAATACCAGTGTCATAATTATCATACATTCATCGGTGAGTAAAGGAAATGCTAATTTCTCCTGCTGGGGCTATGGAGTAAAATGTTTCATAGCTTGCTTTGGAACGATCAAGGTGTGTAATTTGACTAAATGTTTCAATATAAAGTTTCCTATTTGCTGAAAGCCCACAGGCCAGTTAGTTAACTCTCTGGATATTATAATTTCAGCTTGAGTGTAATTATAAATAGCACAGTTATTTCAGTGAAAGTAAAGATGTAAAACACTAAATTTTCTAATCTTTTGTATAATTAATATTATCAATGTCAGTGTTATGTAATTTTCTAAAAGGTGGGGAGGTAGTGGAGATGTAGACAAATGGAATTTCTTATAAATCATGCTTTATTTGCTTTATAAAACCAGGTATATGCTACTGATACCAAATATGTCTCTCTGGGCAGGAGGTTCTTTCTAAACTTTCGAGTCGTAGTCTACTATCGACTTGCTGTCTCTGATTAGATTTTGATAGGGTATTCAAAGCTCTTATGTCTGAAACCTCTCTCAAGTCTTCTCTTCCCAGAGACTTCCCCTTTCTCAGTAAATGGAAGTTCTTTCTTTCTAGATTAAGAAGTCCAAATTCGATAAGTCATTTTGGAATTTTTCTCACCTCCTATCTTCTGCTCCAAATCCAGAATCCTGCCACTTCCTACTGTTGTGACCGGTATGGCAAAGCCACTCTCCTTTCCCACTTGAATTATTGAAACAATACTATAAAAACACTCCCTAATGTCTTGCTTTTCTCTCTACACAGCAATCAGAATGTTTCTTTTGATATGTATTATATCTCAGGTCAAAACTCTGCTCTCATGGCCTCATCTCAGTCAGACCAAAAGTTTTCCCATACCAAACACAGGCTTCTATATTCTAGTCTTCTGTTATCATTGGAAAGTCATTCCCTTTTTTCTTCTCCCCACCCACACCTTGCACCACACTTTCTTTTTATGGATCTAAGGTTTCTCACCTCAGATCTTTTGTACTTGTTGCTTCTTTGTTTGGAGCTCTCGTTCCTCAGATAACCAACGGCTTAGATGAAATATTAACTATTGGCAAGATCTTCCCATGAAACTGTTTAAAATATCAAGATTTCCTTTCAGCTGCCCTGTGGTAATTTCTCATAATTTTATGTTGCCTCCTCATCCACTTTGAATGCAAGTTTACTTTTTTCATGCCAGATGCAGGACTCAGTCACCCTTGACAGAGTATCCATTTCCACAGCACACCTAAATGGCTCAAGCCTCTGGCCACATACCAGAATTTGGAGGCATCTCTAGGCCTAGGAGACTGGGTTCCCACTTTTTCAATGCTTCCTTCAAATGGACCATTTAGCCACTTGCCTTCTAACTTAAAATGACCCATACTCTGATTCATCATATACTCTTCTAGTTGCCAGGTGCTTCTCTCTCTTTCTACCTGTCTTGTCATTCCTTTAGCCTTTGACTTGGAAACAGATAATTACCCTCCTGACTCATTATCTCCTTGCCTAGAATCTGTAAGTAGAAATCTCTGAACTTGTTTCCTATTGCAGTGGTGAATTGAACTTGTACCTTCTATATAAAGAACCAAGGGCTACCTCAGGCCAGGTTTGCTGTGGGATGCCTGGGGGAATGCTAGGTCAGGCTCCTAGTGCCAGGGCAATAGTTAGACGAACATAAAGTGGACATTGGTCTGACAAGAACCACAAGTTTAAATAAGTTTAAATATAAGCCATTTGTATAAACATGCCTCTCCTGTGAGGGACACTCCCTCACCACTCCTACCTGTGACTGGTTGGTCACAGGTTTGACAACTAGGCATTAGGTTGTCTACCAGGTAAAAGATGTATCTCATGGAAGGCGCACTGTAAACACCTATGTCCAGCTCCCTTTTATTTCCTATTAGGGCAGAGTTGGTAGCTGCTAGCTGCTGTGCTACTAGAACCTCAGTTTAGCTGGGGGCTCCCAAAACATATTCCTTCTCATTCTTTCCATTATCTTTTTCCATAACACATACCACCGAACTTGCTATGTTTTTCTAATAAATTATATTTTAATGAATGGTTTATTTACTTATTTATCTCATTTACGCCTTACCTGGTTTTTATTCCTACTAAAATAAATACCCATTATTAGAGCAGTGCTTGACACATAAGAGGTTATTGATAAACATCTGTTGAATAAATTAATGAAGCAAAGTTATCTTCTCTATGAATAAACTTGAATTTTATGAAGATATTTAAATTCTCTAAGCCTACATTCCTGACCAGGGATTGAGTCATAAAAATTTTTGCTTTCTATAGTTTATTACTAATGTGTTTAAATTGTTGAAGATTGACATCCACTTGCAATGTTTACTTGGTTTTTAAGACAATGCAAATTACCAGCAGTCATAATTTTTTTAAAAAAGTGACTGATGTGACTGATTATTATAGCAATAACTAAAGTAGTTGTGAAATTAGAATCCAAATTAATCTACGTGGACCAATTAGTGAAGAAAAAGATACTAATAGGGAAACATTGTCAACAAAAATTAAAGTCTTAACTAGGAAAGTTTTGACTGGAATTTTAAAAAAATATAGAAACAGGACCCTGAAAATAAAGTTGTTCTGATTGTGGAATAATCAAGGTTAAATAAAAGTTAGAGCTAAACAGTGAAATAATATTGTAATCTTATTAGCTTCATACCTTACTCTATTCAGTGAGTAACCAAGACAGTCTTACTGATCCTCACAATTTGATTAAATTCTATAAAGGTTTCTTTCTGACTATAGGCCTTGACCTTCCTTTTCTTAGAGCATTTGCTTAAGAAAACTTGCAATTGTAAATTGTTTCTTTGGCCCTTTGAAATGTAAATTTACTGCAAGCCAGGAATGTCTTTCTCAAGGAGCTGGGAGCCATTCCTTTGAAATGTAATCATTTAGTAAAATAGCACTTCTATCTCCCAGTCTCTGTGGGAAGGCAAGAGCCTACCTCAAAAAGTACAAATTAGCAAACAGGGATGGCCTAATCATATTGACTAACATCCCCCTAATTTCCGACAGTACTTTTCTGCTAGTTTACCCTTGTGTTTAACAATTTTCTTTCTTTTATTCAATGCAATTGAAAAAAACCCTTCCTTTCCTATTGCAGTAGTCTTGAAGAAAGTTTTTCTTGCCTATTTAATTGATCTGGTCCAAATACCTTCATCTTTTACTTTCTATTTATGCATTCATGTTTAGTAATAGAAATGTGCAAATAGAGACTTCACTACGTGTGTGGGAAAAAACAATGCAAACCTACCTATATAAAGTTATTATAATAATTCATCCTACTTTAGAAACATATTTTCATGAAGAAGATATAACCACCTGATTTATTTTTGAAACTGAACCCATTTTTTATCATACAGAATATAATTTCAGACCATGATAATAATAGTGCAATTTGAGTTACTTTTTTTATGTGTGCTAGCATTGTAACCAGGGGAGTGTACCCAGCTCCCAGAGCTTGTAGGGTCCTGGCCTCTCTAACCCTGAAGACTGGGGAAAGGGACCCTGGAGGGGTGGTGAGTTTACCCTTCAAATAAATATAGTGGACCCAAATTGTTTTGCGGAAGAGCGATTTATTAGAGGAGACAGCGAGAGAGAGAGAGCGAGAGAGAGAGAGAGAGAGAGAGAAAGAGAGAGAGAGAGAGAGTGAGAAAGAGAGAGAGAGAGAAAGAATAGCTCCCACACTGTTGTGGGAGGGGAATCTAGAGTGGCAAGTGGCAAATCTGTTCAGGTAGGAGCAGCTGAAGGTTTTTTTTTTTTTTTTTTTTTTTTTTTTTTATATTATTGCCATGATGTGATCTTGGCTCACTGCAATCTCCACAGGAGCAGCTGAAGTTTTAACCCTTCAGTTATATTGCCTCCTGGTTCATGTTCTCATCCAATGAGAGAAGTTCTTTCAAACTTTCTGGAGTGATTGATCTTTGACTCTGATACCAGATTGGCTACTTATCCTACAACCCTGAGTTACAGAGCCCTCTCTTCCCAGAGCATTCTGCAGGAATTTGGGACAAAAGACCCCCACCTGGCTTGCCCACAGGAAAACTAGACAAAGAACTTTATATTTGAAACCCCTCTGGTCTTCGGATGGAGGCTTGGAGCCAGGAATTTCCTGCATTTGAAACCCCTCCCCTAGCGGACCCTGGAAGAGAAGTTGCTTTAACACAGTCCCTCAGCGTTAAATTTCTTATACTTTGTGAATACTATTTATAATTTTAGGGTTATTTTTGGTTGTGTGTTTGTGTTTACATTACTTAAAATGGCTGGGTGCCTCACATATGATTGAGACATAGTAAATATTTGTCAATATTTTTCTATTTACATTCATTTTACTTTGAATACTTTTTTAACTGTAGAGTTTTACGAATAATGTATTTCAAATCAAAGGGTTTTTATATTTAAAAAAGGCAAAAATTCTTAACGTTTTTTCTACTCCTGGCAAAAAACATCGTTGTCATTTTAAAAAAGGACATGATTAATGGAATTTCCAAGATCACAGGTTGTTGCAGAGATTACATCAGCTGAGAGGAAAAACCTTTCATAGCTAGAACACATTCTGTTCCTCACAAAATAGCACTGTAACGCAAGTGAGTGAAAGAGATGTCTCTATAAGAATAGTTAACACGCATTCTAATGCTATATTAAAAATAACAGTAATGGCACATATTTTAAGTATTTTAGGGAAAATGTATTTGTGCTGTTACAACTGGTGTTTGTGTACTAATATATTGCAGGACAATTTATCTCACAAAAATGGGTTTTCATATGATTTTTCTAACTGTCAATTATATGAAGTAAGAAATTCTGTCTTTCTTCTCTCCTTTCTAAATCATTATTCCTGTTATTCAGCGGAAGCATTGAAATAGTGTGGGGAAAATAATAGAAGGGAAAAACTGAAAGATATCGATTATAATTCAATATTATTTACAACAATTTGGCTTAAAATGATGGAAACTTAGACGTGTTGTCTGTTGAAAAAGAAATAATTAGATTCAGCTATGGGAGAACTTAATTTGCTTTTAATAGGAGGGGGTAAATATTCAATTTCAAATACTAATTATGAAAATCTTTGCAGTCGATCAAGCATGCTTACTTAAAAGGTTAAAAATCTGCTGAGTGACAATTGTGGACATTTCCAAAAGAGCTCTTGAAAACGTGAATAGCAGTGTTTTGGTCTCTGGTATTCTAAATATTGAGCATATCTAATCCAATGGCTGAGAAAATGAGTGACTTGATCCTGTAACTCATTTACAGGAAGGAAAAAGGAGGTTTACAAGAACAAAGCATACGTTTAGGGAGTAAGCTCAGAGCCAAACTTATATATAGGTATAGTAGTAAATGCAGTGTCAGTAGTAAGTGTAGACTATACTTGGGAGAACTCTAATCATTTGTTTTGACAAGGAATTATAACAAAGACTCATTGTTTCAACAAAGGATTTTGACAAAATCACAATAAATGTTGCCTAATTGAATAATTTTCATTTGATTGTAAGCACTGAAAATTTAGACATTGAGAGTAAAATCAATTTTCCTTCAAACATGTTTAGACACTGTTGCAAAGAATTTACAATTGAGGAGAATAATGACAATAACGAAGGGAAGACCTATGTGGAAAGGCATGAGTTAACTGCAAGGGAAAAGCCAATGTAAATTAAAACATAGGTCACTTTCTTCTCCTTAATATTTTTATATGTCCAATTCATTGTTCAATATATCTGAGACAAAACTCTCAATCAATATATTTATTACACCCTAGTGTTTCCATTAATATTCCACCTGACATTTAAAGATTAATTAGAATGATTTAGCGGGCACAGCCACTCATACAGAGATAGGTGTTAGAGAAAGCAGGACTGCTTTCCAGTGCCCAGGGTGTGTTGTTGCTGGCTTCAGTCCCAAAGGGAGGGGCATCAAACCATGATGAACTATTTTCAGACATTAATATTTAATTCAGTTTGTGTGCTGGCTTAGGGAATTGCTTAGGACTGGCTTAGGGACTTGCTTAGGACTGACCACCTTTTTTGTTTTTTTAATTTCTTCCTATCAGAATAAGAATGTCTTTCTTATACCTGTTCCACCATTGTATTTTTATTTAAAAAGCAGTAACTTATTTTCTTTTTTCACAGGTCCATAAATGGAGAAGAAATTTACTCCATGGTGGACTCACCCATAACTGATTTAGATGATGAGGTGTGGGACATTTTCAGATGATTATATTCAGGTGAGATTTTGAATTGTATTTAATGCTGCATAAAGATTCAAGGGAATGTTGAAATTGGGTGAATCCATATTGTATGTGAGAAACACATGAATTTGGGCAGCCAGAGGACAGACTGTTATGGATTGAATTTTGTCCCCAAAAATATATTTTAAAGCATTGGCCCATAGTACCTGTGAAATTGACCTTATTTCAAAATAGTGTTTTTGCAGATGTAATTAGTTAATGATATCAAGATAAAATCATCCTGGATTTAGGAGGTTTAAAAAGATTTTTAACCTTTTAAGTAAGCATCCATCTTAGGAGATTCCTAAATCCAGTGAATGTCTTGATATGCTAGCACCAACTGTTAAGCCATTATTTTCCAACTAAATTGAAATGCCACTTCTGTCATATATTAAGTTTTTATGCGTACTTGGATATATTAATGAATCATTTTAGTCTACTGATTGACTTCTTTGTTATTTTGTCAAAATCACAGTGTTTTAAAGGGTTATATTAAAAAAATAAAAAAATAAAAGGGATATATTTGTCATAAGATGTAATACCTGAGCAGGCGAATTCTCCCCAAATAGTCTTTGCTATTGCATTAGTCTTGACTATTTCAGATACTTATTCATCATATTAGTATAAAACTCATTTTTCGACAATCTGAAGGTAAACGTCAATGAGATTTATATTTAAGTTAAATAAATTTGTACATTAGTTTGAAAAAAAATTGACATTTTATGACATCTCTTTTACTCATTCAGAATAAGGTGCTTTTAATTTATTCATGCCTTACAGAGAATGTGATTTTTTTTTGTATGTGTACTATTTTAAACTTTTTATGGGATTTTTATACTTTTCATGTCTATTGTAAATTATATATCTATGTTATATGTGTTTATAAAAGCACACAAATATATAGAAATGCTCTATTTATATTCACTTTCTGTATATAACTGATAAACGCAAGCTATCAGAGTTTTGGAAACTTTATTTTATTAAACTGTTATTAATTAGTAGTAAAATTACTAATCACAAAAATTATTAAAAATCACCTTGTATTCAGCTACACATTCAAATTATCAATTAAATGGAATGCAATTTTGTCTTTTCATTTTCCAGTTAATAATGTTTTCTGCAGTATTTTATGTTCCAAAACTTCTAAAATTTTTAATACTACTCAAAGCAGAAGTCATCCTTGTTTATTGCATTATTTTTGTAAAAATGTTTTAGCAGCATTTTATTTAATACTTTATTTGGTGGATAAATATTTTGTAAGCATGCTGCATCATACTTTCATTTGTAATAAGCTACATATTTTAATGTATTCATATTTTTCCTCTTATTTTTCTTAATTTAACTAAGATTTTCTAATGTTGATTTAATGAATTCCTAAAATAAGCTCTATTTGAATTGCTAATTATTAGATCTTTTGTTATATGTGCTAATACGATGTTTGAATCATTATATATATGATATATCCTTCATATTTTTATTTTAGTACTATCTTTAAAAGATTTCAATGTGATATCTGTGCTGGATGTATTTATTATTTTAAGGTAAATAAGAAAATCAAGAAATCCTGCTTAACCATCCTCTAAATGTGGATTCAAGGTCATGGTTCAAAATGGATGTTAAAATTGCAGCCATTGATACATAACCATACCAGAAAAAAAATGGAAATGTAAGAAAGCAACTTCTCTAATTAAGATCCCTACTCCTATCTAATTACACGGTACTTTTACATATACCTTTCTTGCCCAGAATTTAGTGACATGGTCATAACAAATACTAAAGAATCTGCATAATGTTGCATAATATTGAGTGATCATCTGTCCACTAGGAAATTAGAGCTCCCATCACTAAGAAATTAGCCAACATTCTCTGTCATAGTGATTTTCTTTAACCTCCAAATATCCATATGTACTTTTCTTCCCACATTTAGAACTTAGCCATCTCTCAAGGAAGATGGTGACAAAATTCTATACAAATTCTGCAGCCTGGTCAAATCTTAGGATCTATAGGGGATGTGCAGCTCCCACTGCTGTCTAGATAGATCTTTGTGTCATTGGAAACCCGTAACTAAAAGAAATAGTATCTAATATAGATATTAATGTACTTCCTATAAATTAAAGTTGAATTTAGAAGGTTCACTGGATCCAAGTTTAACCTATCCTGGCAACACAATTCCATAAGTGTTATGTGTATGCATCAGGAGAGTGTAAAATTATGATACCTTGCTGCTTATAATTTTATAGTGATGTTGGCTACTAGAGAGTATTTCTTAAATTCCTAAACTCATTAGGAGTTTAAAATGGTAATATTCTAAGTTAACCTTTTTTTTTCAATTAGAGTTATGTACCATATAACAATATTTTAGTCAGTGACAAACCACATATGCAACAATGGTTACATAAGCTTATAATGGAGCTGAAAAATTCCATTTGCCCAGTGATGTTGTTGCAGTCTTAATAGTACAGTTCACCTTATTACTCACATACCTCTTGTGATGCTGGTATAAATAAACTTAAGACATTGCCAGTCTTATAAAAGCATAAATACTTGATAATGATAATAACTATGTAACCAGTGCATGCATTTACTATACTACACTTTTAATTGTTACTTTAGAGTATACTCCTTCTTAAAAAAAGAAATTGAATTGGAAAACAGAATCATGCAGGTCCTTCAGAAGGTAGCCTGGAAGAAGACACTGTTATCATAAGAGATGACAGCTCTATGTGTGTGTTACTGCTCCTGAAAACCTTCTAGTGAGATACAATGTGGGGGCGGAAGACAATGATATCAAAGATTCTAATCCTGTGTAGGCCTAGGTAAACAATGAGTGTTATTGGTGACTTAAGTTTTAACAAAAGTGTTTAAAAAGTAGAAAGTAAAAATTTAAAGATTAAATATAGAGAAAAACTTATAGAATAAGTATAAAAAGCAATATTTTTTATAGCTATATACTGTTCATGTTTAAGTTGGGTATTGTTGTCAGAGGCATGTGAACCAGAGCAACTCCATCTTAAACAGCAGCTCGGTAAAATGAGGCTGAAACTACTGGGTTGCATTCACAAATGGTTAAGGCATTCTAAATCACAGGATGAGATAGGAAGTCAGCACAAAATACAGGTCATAATGACCTTGCTGATAAAACAGTTTGCAGTAAAGGAGCAGGCCCAAACCCACCAAAACCAAAATAGTGATGAGAGTGAGCTCTGGTCGTCCTCACTGCTACACTCCTACCAGTGCCATGACAGTTTACAAATGCCATGGTAACTTCAGGAAGTTACTCTACATGGTCTAAAAATGGGAGGCATGAATAATTCACTGCTTGTTTAGTATGTCATCAAGAAATAACCATAAAAATGGGCAACTAGCAGCCCTTGAGACTTCTCTGTCTATGGTGTATCCTTCCTTTATTCCTTTACTGTCTTAATAAACTTGCTTTCATTTTGCACTGTGGACTTGCCTTGAATTCCTTCTTGTATTCCAAGAACCCTCTTTTGGGGTCTGGATCAGGAGTCCTTTCCTGTAACATTATTACAAATGAACAAAAAAGTTAAAAAAATAAAGGGAGCCAGACATGGTGACTTGTGCCTATAATCACCTATTTGGGAGGCTGAGGCGGGATATCACTTGAGGCCAGGAGTTTGAGACCACCCAGGGGAACAGAGACACCCCCCCCCATCTTAAAAAAAATAAAAATAAAAGTCTTTCACATTTACTCATTACTTAATGATTCACCCAGGGCAACTTACTATTCTGCAAGCTCCATTCATGGTAGTTGCCATAGACAGGTCTACAATTTTCTATCTTTCATATCATAGGTTGCTGTACCTTATTTATGTTTAGATTTACTTATTGTGTTACAATTGCTTACAGTATTCAGTTCAGTAACATGTTGTACAGGTTTGTAGCCTAGGAACAACAGCTTACATCATATAGCCTAGAAGTGCGATAGGCTGTGTCATCTAGCTTTGTGTAAGAACACTGTGATATTTACACAATAACAAAAATGCTTAACGAGATGTTTTCAGATAGGAATCCTGTCATTAAGGGAAGCATGACTGTATTTAAACCACTTTAATAAATAAAACGTTTTAAAAAATTTAATTCTGTTAACACTTTGGTTACTCTGGAGTAGAGCTCACTTGAGAAAAGTAGAAAAACAGTGATTTTAAAAAAAAGTTTTACTAAGAAGTTAACAAAAAGTAAGTTATCTTGCATTAACCAAAGGTGACCAAAGTATACCTCTGAAATTTGAACTTATGCCATTATACAATTTTTTAAATGGAAACAATTTATCCTATGTTATATTTATTTATTTTTAAATATTTTTTATATTTTTAAGTATATTTTTTGTTTTGATAATAGTTATAATTTTTTCTTCTGTTTTGATATTATGCAGTTTTTTGATATTTTCTCTTAAACTTTAAAACTTAAATAGTATACATGTTCTATTTGAACTGTATAATTTGAAAGAATAATTTCATTTTAAAAATAAGACATTATTCTAATACCAGTTAATAACAAGTCCATCTTTCTTTTTTCACTTGTTTTGGAAATGAATTTTATAAACAGCTACTACAGCTTTAGAAAAATACTTATTGCCTCTAATTTTGGCACTGCACTCAATGTATGAATGTACCTAGGAGAACTAACATAGGTAAATTGTTGAGAGTTTAAACAGTAATGTGTGTCTTCATTTATTCAGGTCCAATCAGTATATTTTAATAGTATTTTGTAGATTTTTCTATATATATTTTAGAGATTTTCTGTCAGTCTTATGACTAAGCATATAATTTTTTTATTTGCTATAAAATATTGTATTTTGTCTTCTATTACATATTATTTCTTATTACATATGCAAGTTTTTTGTATTTGTATGCCAGATGGATTTTCTCTGTGTGTGTGTGTGTGTGTGTGTGTGTGTGTGTGTGTGTGAAATCTATAATCTTTTACCAAATTTCCTGGTAATTTTAATAATTTCATAGTTTTTTTTGGAGTTTTCCAGATAGATATCTATGTACAATGAAAATAGAAGGTGTTTTGCTTACTTTTTTTTTTATTGTTTAAACATTTTATTTTCTCTTTTCTAATTGCATTATATTAAATATCCAGTAAAGTTGTAAAGTGAATGAGATATAGTAGGCATGTTTGCTTGTTTTTTACTGTAGTGCAAAGGTTTTTAGTGTTTCTCCATTACATAAAATTTTGGTTTGTGGCTGAAGTAAGTATTGATATAGGTATACAATATGTATTACATAGTATGCAGATGATTTATTAAATTTAGAGATTATGTACATATCCCAATTACATTTAAAGATGTAACCTGAATCTGCTTTCTATTTTGTTAAATTATTTTCCCCATCTTTGAAGAGATTGATTTTTCTTTATGCTTCAACTAAGATTATGGATGTTTTAGTTTAGTATGAATTTCTTACTACTAAATAAACTGTATTCTTAGAAAAATTTCTGATACTTTAATATGTCTTGTTTTTAATGTCTTTTTGGATATTTTTTGCATTTTTTTCAGCACTACTTTTTAGATAGTGCTTCATTTTCTGACAGTCATGGTTTTGGATGATTGATAATCCTTCTAATCAGTGTTCCCATATATTCAATGCTTTATTTTCCTCTAGTTGCTGTTGGTATCCTGGACCTAGCATAGAACGTCAACACCAAGACAAAAGTATGCCAAATTGCAGGGTTTATTGCCGGCAACCACGGAGGACTCACGTCTCTCCAACCCGTGGCAGGGAAAGAAGGGTGACAAGACCTTTTTATACCGGTAAAACCACCTTGGGGGTGCGGGTGGGGGCGGGGATGGGGGTGAGGGGCTTCAGACATTCCGCAGGCTAGTGGATTGTGTAAATCACCTTCTGGGTGGAGATGAGGGTGAGGGGCGGGGATGGGGGTGAGGGGTTTTCCGGACATACCGAGGGCCAGGGGACTATTCGACATTCTGATTGTTACTTAATTGGTTCACAAAAGCTAAGATTAGCATTCTTCTACACACTGTCTGGGTAGGGTGGGGATCACAGTCCTTAATTACTAATCCACATTTGGGTTATAGATAGCAGTTTCAACAGAAAGCTGAGGTATGGTTGAAGTATGCAGTTTTATGGGGCTTTTTATCATGTCACACTGTCAAGATTTTTTATTAATCTTTGGTTTTCAGCAGCTTTACTATGATATGGCTAGGCATTGTTTTATTTTATTTTATTATATTTGAAATTTGCAGAGTTCTTGGTCATTTATGTCCTTAATTTCTGGAGAGCTATGTTTATGATTACTTTAAATACTTTTTTCTCTATTGTTTTCTCTTCCTATTTTCTACCTCCTCAAAGAATTTGGAAGCTTTAATGATTCATTTGTTAAACTTTCTGATGTAATTCCACCTATCTTGAAGGATATGTTTTGTTTTATTCAATATATTTTTGTCTATCCTCTAAATGCATAATTTCCATTCGTTTTCAAGTTCACTCGTTTTATGTTCACTGACTTTGTGTTTTATCATCTCTATTTTGCTATTGTATACGTCCACTAATTTTTTATTTCAGACTTTTTTATTATTATAATTTTATTAGATGCTTTTTTAACTTTAAAAAATATCTGTGAACTTTCCCTGTTTATTTCATGTGTGTTATTCTCTACCATATAGACCACAGTTACAATAGCTGCTTTAAAATCTTTGGTAATGGCAACATCTTGGACATATTTGGATAGGAACCCCTGCTGTTTTAACCAAAGCTAATTAATTACATATTAACAGGTCTTTGCATGTTTTAATTAAATTTTGTCTTGAGCAAATAAAATGTTAGCATATGTAGGTTCTAGGTCTGTTACAATCCTTTGGAAAAGGTTACTTTTTTTTTTTTTAAGCAGGCAGTCAGCCAAAGTAGATTTAGATCTTTGCCTCATTTCTTTTCTCTGTGGCTCATATAGCCATTCAATTGTCAATGCTCAACAGCTCTACTTTTTTGGTTCTATCATGCATATGAAACACTCAGTGATTTGAGACTAATATGTTGATTTAAATCTCAATTCAGTTTCTAAACCTTTGTACTGTTGATTCGAGACTACCATTGCTTGTATAGCTTCTAGAGAGCCTCAGACTTGTATAAGTTAATACACAAAATTAGTGTTTTTTATTATTTGGATATCTTCCTTGCGGATTCCACATTTTCCAAGCCAAAGTCTCTATATTCTGGTTGTTCTGGCCAGATAGACAGGATTTCCCTTTTACTGAAGCTTTCTCTGGGGTTCTACTAGTGCTGATTGCCCTAGAAGCTCAAAAGGAAAAATTATCTGTGAGATTCTTTTCCTAAGTTTGATTCTCACAATACACTTGGTATTATCTAATTTTTATAATCAATAGGGAACTTTTTTTTGTAGTTTGATCAGAAATTTTAGTTTTAGTAAGTGAGAGAAAGGGGCCATAATGAGTTTTTATTTTAAAAAGAGGTTATTGCTGAGGTTTTATTCTAAAACTACAAAACTAGAAAAGTATTAAAAAAAAGGGTTATACCGAGTTTGCATTTTAAAACTGAATTTTGTTAATTTGATAAACTTTTTGACAACCTTGACTTAGGATTAAGTATCTTTTATACAGGAAGTCTTGAACTTTCATTTTTATTCAATCTGAATGTTTTCTCTTTTTAATTGATATTTTGGCTTTACTTATTTCATATTAATATATGTCCTTGTATTTTACATTGGTCTTTTTCATCATGTCTTTTATCCTTCTCGATTCTTAATACAAATTTTGTTATTTAGTAAAGTTACTATTTTTGTTTAAATTGTTTTTGTGATAATAATATTACATATACACTTAATCTGCTTTTTGGGGGATTAGAGGAAGAATATTGTCTACTGCTTACCTACTAGAACAATGTTAAAATTAGCTAATAACCTTTTCTAACTCATTTTCTTCTTTTCCTTAACATCTAATTTGTAGCTAGATGACTTGCTTCCAAATAATTTCTGTAAGATAATAAGCAATCTGACCTGCCTGAATTGAAACTTTTGAAAGTAACATTGCCAGAGTTTTGTCTGTTAATAAACTATACATTATACTTAATGAATATAATTTAATGTTATAAGATATATATGTATGTTAATTTATGTTTAAATTTATATATTAAATACATTTATATGTTAAATACCTATATATTTAATATTCCCCATCAGTCAGTATCCTGTTGTTTCTTCAGTTTTTACTTCTTTGTATGTCTAAAGCATGTTCTTAAGTAGATATTTGAGGAAAGTTTCATAACATTAATATTTCTTCTTTTCTGGTATGGCTATTGTGATGGTTAATTTTATGTGTCAACTTCACTGAGCCGTAGGGTATCTAGACATCTGATGAAACACTAATCTAGGTATATCTGTGAGGGTGTTTCTGGTTGAGATTAACACATGAATTGGTAAAAATTATCTGAGTAGGCCTGGCGGAGTGGCTCATACCTGTAATCCCAGCACTTAGGGAGGCTGAGGCTAGTAGATCACGAGGTCAGGAGTTCAAGACCAGCCTGGTCAAAATGGTGAAACCCAGTCTCTACTAAAAATACAAAAAATTCTCTGGGTGTGGTGGCACATGCCTGTAATCCCAGCTCCTTAGGAGGCTGAGGCAGATAATTGCTTAAACCTGGGTGGCAAAGGTTGCAGTGAGCAGAGATCACCCCACTGCACTCCAGTCTGGGCAACAGAGCAAGATGCTAGTTAGAACGGCAATCATTAAAAAATCTGGAGACAACAGATGCTGGAGAGGATGTGGAGAAATAGGAACACTTTTACACTGTTGGTGGGAGGGTAAATTAGATTGACCATTGTGGAGGATCTAGAAATAGAAATTCCATTTGACCCAGCAATCCCATTACTGGGTATATACCCAAAGGTTTGTAAATCATTCTATTATAAAGACATATGTACACATGTGTTCATCTCAGCACTGTTTACAATAGCAAAGACCTGGAACCATTCCAAAGGCCCATCAATGAAAGACTGAACAAAGAAAATGTGGCAATATACACCATGGAATACTATGCAGCCATAAAATATGATGAGTTTATGTCCTTTGTAGGGACATGGATGAATCTGGAAACCATAATTCTCAGCAAACTGACACAAGAACAGAAAATCAAACACCGCATGTTCTCCCTCCTAGGCGGGTGTTGAACAAAGAGAACACATGGACACAGGTAGGGGAGCATCACACACTGGGGTCAGTTGGTGGGGGACTAGGGGAGAGACAGTGGAGGATGAGGAGGGTTGGGAGGGATAACGTGGGGAGAAATGCCAGATGTAGATGATGGGGGGATGGAGGCAGCAAACCACCTTGCCATGTATGTACCTATGCAACAACGCTGCATGATCTGCACATGTACCCCAGAACCTAAAATACAATTTAAAAAAAAAAAAGAAAAAAAAGGATTGAGTAAAGATTGTCTTCCTAATATACGTGGGTAACATATATATATATGCATGTATATATGTGTATGTATGTAAATATATATGTACATATATATGAGTGTGGCTGCATACAATACTGTTTGTCATATTTTATAGCCTTGAAATATTTACTAAGTTAATTTTGTTAGGGGGTATAAATAATTATGATACAAAAGTCTGATGACACTGATACTCTTTTAAATGTTTTCATATTTTGTCTGGGTTCTAAAAATTCCAGAAAGTTTTACCATAATGTTCATTAGGTTGGGCCATTTTAGGTTGTTTTGTGAAGGTATATGGAAAATATGAAGATCTATGTCACATACCTAATTAAAAGAAAGTTTTGTTAAAAGTAAGTTTTGTTATTGGTTCTCTTTCATTGATTTGGCTTATTTCTTTTTCCATATTTTGCATTTTCCATATTTTGTATTTCTTTTGCTTTTCTTGTGTATATTTTTTATCAAAATATTTTGCTTCTGTTTTCCTTTTGATTTTTACTTTTTAAAAATTTTTCATCTTTAAGACTTTTTTCCACTGTAATCACCAATGTAATTTTTCAAATTCTGACATTACTTCTAACATAATGTTTCATTTATAATTATTTTCTGCTATGTGTTACTATTCTAGTCAAACACTTTTTGTCAATAACCTCATTTAATAGATATTTAATTCTAATTTATGTTGCTTTCAGAAAGACTGTATTATTGAATTATTTTCTCCTAGTTGTTTTTAAAATAGATTCAGGTTTTGTCTTGTAATTATGCCTTTCTAATATCTTTTATAGTCTCTAGAAATATTATTCTGTTTTCTCCTTATATGTTATCACTTATAAATCTGTAAGTAATGTATTTTCGATTCTTATTTTAAGTGTTTGAAATTACTTATGATTTTATTTTATGAATGTGTATGTATATTATTATAATGTTTATTGCATCACAGGATAGACTTAGAAATTTATACTCAAAAACATACAAGTTCGTAATTTATATTTTTCTAATCCTCAACTTTTTGTTCCAGTTTGTTAATTTTAATCTCAAAAATTCTTGGAGAGCTACAAGAAAATTTTCCACTCGTTTTCTTATTTGCATAATCTTTGTAATTCTAGATATGTGCATTTACGGTTATTTTATCTGTTAAAATGTTATGCTCCAACACATTCATACTCATTTATTATTTTGACCTCAGTTCATTTGCTGATGTATTATTATTATTACTATTATTTGTATTTTTGGATAGATTTAATGTACACATTTGCAAACGCTTTCATTTCTAACATTCTTTGCCAAAAATTTTAAGTATAAGTTTTATAAACTTTATATAGCACATTCTCATAGCAAAATCTCTCAATTTACATAATTGAATATTTATTTATGTATTTGTTTCTATTCTTTCCAACATATTTTATATTCTTTGTTATAATTTTACTTTTTAAATATTGTTTCTTTTTTGTAGCATTTTTTTCCTTTGGTATATGCAGTTGAATATTGGAGAAGCTTATAAATTTCATGAGAGTTTGGCATCTAAATAAGGATTTGTGGAGAAAAACAGTTCAGGGATTAGGCTTCCAACTATACTGGTTTCTTATTTCCAATGCTGTAGTTAATTTACAAATTGATTTATTTTATTTGAATCATTATGGTACTATTAGAGAAAATGTACTATGCCTATATTAAGTAAGTCTGATGGTATGAAAGTGTAATGAACTTAGTATATCAACCATGGTAATGCTACTTTCTGCTATACATAGATTAGTGAAGACATCTTTTTCACATATTGCTCTGGACTTCTTAAAATAGAAGCAGTTTCCTTCAGTTATTGTCTACTATTAAATAATATTTTGAGAGATTTTTGATGGTATCTTATTTATATAGTCTTTAAATGTCTTCGTTTTTCAGTTTCAATAGTATCAACAGTGAATACTTGTACACTTGAAAAACATATGTCATATTTTAGACTTTTCTCTTTCAAATATATTTGCTCATAAAATAGCAATGTGATGAAATTTTTCTTGAATAACAAGCATGGCTGTTTACTGATATGTGCATATTTGTTCAGTACCTTTGGTTATTTTATATCCATCTTTAGATATGAAAAATTTAATTTTCCTAGGTAAAGATAATACAATTTTGAATCATGTTTTTTGTTTCTATAAGAAAAATTTTCAAATTGAGTCTGGTTACAAGGTAGCCAAAATTTTATGCATTTATATGTCTATATAAATTTGTATGTCTATATAAATGCATAAAATTTATGTCTATGTAAAATTATAATATGGAATTTATACATTTATATAGAATAATATGGATATATTAGCTTAAAAAGACACACAGATACAGTAATATGTAGTGCTTACTTACTAGGAGTAAGCATAAAGTAATAGAGAATTTCACTGATAGTAAAACAAAAGGGTCATCTTATTTTTTAATATTATGAGAACGAGTTGGATTTTATAAAGAGAATGAGCACTAGTGCAGTTGTTTACCACTAGTACTTACTTGAGGGAGAAAACATCTCATTGTGAAGAGTCTTTGTCTCAGTGATTCAGGCACACATCAGCAGAACTGAATCATCATTTATACTTGGCTGTTTATTGGTGTTATCTATAGTTGGCGTCACTGTGGTGTGCTAGATGAGGGATTTGGATTTACCACAGAGCATCTAAAAGCAATATTATGTGAATCCAAGCACGTTAACTCATTAGAAAACTTCAAATATTATTCAGAATTAATTTAAAGAGAATGAAGTGCAAGCACAAGTTCTTCAGGTTGATTTAAGTACAAATGTTAGTGATATCATGATGTCATTATTACATAAAAATAAGTGGTCTAGAGAAAAACAATATAGCCTAATACAAGGTAATGGCTTTTGTTCAAATGGTTAATAGTTGGATAATGTGATTTTAAATTATGTTGCCAGTGATATAACTAATTTTACTACTAAATTATGGCAATTTCTAAATATTTGTATTTTCATAAGTATTAATTATGAGTAATAGATGTAGGTGGCAAGAGCAGATTTTATTTTACAGCAGCTGCTCAGAACACTGAGGGAAAGAGCACTATGGCAACAAATCAGATTTTCCGAAAGTATGTAAATAATGAAGCTTTTTGTTAAGAATGTCAAGTTTAATTTAACATTGCTGTTGCAGTGTAGTACTCTTCAACGTGTGTTTATGTGGAGCCTCATGCCAGCTACCTGGATCAACTCCAATGCCTACTGAGCTAAAATCTGCCTTGCCTAAGGAATGATGCCAGTATGTTCAAAATTGAAACACAACAGAAACATCCTTCTGAATGGAGCTCAACTGTTGAGAGCTCTTTGAATGATGAACTTTAGTTCAATTTCTAAAAAGTAATCATGTGCTTTATTTGGTGCCTATTGTGCTACTTCAAGTTTCTTCTTCCTCTTCACTGAGCATCCTTCCTCTTCATTACATTTCATCTTTATTCACTCTGTAGAACTGACAAACAATGCTTGAAACATCTGGTGCTGTACTACCTGATAAAGTACCTAACATCACAAGTTGATTTATTTCCTTTATGTATATTTGACACTACTTATTTCCATAACATTAAAAAGAGAAAAGTTTTCTGAATTCTATACAAGTAAATATCATAAACATAAAGTGATTAATAACTAAAGTAATTCTTCAGAATAGTTTGAAAAAAGTATAGATTTTACGTACATCCACACTATAAATACAAATACATATGTGACAGACAATTCAAAGACCTTGATACTGAAATACTTTTAATAACATTAAAATAGTCATAACATTTATTCCAATTTTTGAAATCTTTTTATCTTAAAATTTCTTGCTGCTGTTTTGGAAAAAGAAGAACCAGTGTTGCAGGAGATAGTGTTTAAAATTATGCGTGCATCTCTATACAGTGTGGTAATTCCCTTCTCACAAAATGAGCAAGTCTTGTCTCAAATTTTGAAACCTAGACTGATTTTGTTCCAGGTCAGGTAGAGGAATATTGATGGGTAGAAATATTTAGAATGTAAAGAAAAAATTTTCCCTCAGCTTGACTGTGTCTGAAAGTTTTAATGATTCTCAATTCTGGGCCAGTGTAGGGCTAGTCATAGAGTTCACTTCTGGGGATTCGCAAACATACTAGATTCAAGGTTATTCCAAAGCCTTCACACAATATGAAAAATATCAGTACACCATCTTTGGGAAAGAAACTGAAAACTAGTCAAATATTTGAGCAGTAAGATGTCATTCACCCAGCTTCTTTTCAGAATGTCAGAGACGCACAGATTTAGAGATACGACTCTTCGGCTTGAAATATATAGCATAACCATTAACCTACCAAATATTCAAAATATTAAAGTTTTCAGATTTTAGCAATCATACTCTGAGTTTTAGAAATTGAGATATGCATTTTATGTGATCTCCTTCATTGTATGATAGTATGGGTAATAGGAAACCACTCAATGCCCAGTATCTCATTATTACTGAAATTAGACCAAAAATAAGATTATAAAAGTTAAAATTCCTGCAAGTAATTTCTTTGTTTAGACCCGGTAAATTACAGATTGACTAGAGACTATAACAGCCCTGGATCCTAAGGGATGGAAAAGATGTGAATAAGAATAGGAAAAAAACCATTAAAGGTAAACTATTGAAAACACGTTTTTACTTCTTTTACAATTTGTACTAGACTGACCTGCATTCAAATAACAGGTATTGTCAGTAAGTATGTATATAAAAAGGGTATATTTATGCTGATTTATTCTTTGCAGCATATGTTCACAAAAATGTTGAATCAACCATTATAAGCCATAGTATTATGATAA